TATTTTTTGATATCTTGAATAGTTTTCGAGATATAACGAAAGAAAAAAAGAATTAATTTACATATAAGGGGTGGATTCATCCCTTTAAATCGTTTTTTAGCACCAACTAATAACTTCTAAATTCATTTATTTATGTGACCTCAAAGTGTACCAAGTTTCATTAAAATCAGAATTTGACACTTCGCGAGGTTCCCTTGTGAGCCACCGACATCGTCAACTGTGGACAAATTTTCGTACCGGCCAAAGGGCCCAGAGATAATTGCAGAGTGTCGATATTATCGATTTTTAACATAAATTTGCGATATATTTGAATAATACATTATTAAAATCATTATTTTTATTATATAAATGCTTTATAAATAAGTATACGAATACTTGTAATTCTATAATATCAAATGTATTGCCGCAAAATTACATTTTTTTCCAACTGTTTTACCATTTCTTTGGATAATCCATCGACAAGAGCTGATTGTTAAAGACCGTAATTAGTCCTGGGCAAGTTTTCGTGCCACCCCGGCGGGCCCGGCGGACCCGGAGGTAATTGCAGAGTGTCGATGTTATTGAATTAGGTTTACGATTAGTTTTTTCTGACACAAATTACTAATTAAATTTAAAAATAAAAATGCAAACAAATTTTATCAAGTATATTCTACTTCGTTATTATAAGAAACTTAAGTAATATTTAAAAATTTTTGCAATAAAAAGTAATTTTTAAATGCATATATTTCTTTTTTTAGAGCATTTTTTCAATTTTATAGAACATATTTTAGGCGTTTAAAACGGGATTTTTACAGCATAATTTTGGTTGCCCTGCATATATGTATATTAATTAAACTATGTTAAATGATCATTGGCATCTTGAGGCTCGAATAATACTTTTAGATCATAGAAATTGAGCAAGAAAATATCCTCTGTAAGATTAATAAGATCCGCTGATAAAATTGGTCCAGATAATACCGATGGTTCAGAACTTCAGATGGTTGCGAACTTGAGACAACATGTGATTTGCAAGAATTGCGAGGGTTGCGAGTGAACTCAGAACTGACCGCGAGTTGCCGCGAGTCGCGATCACGCGCTATGTTTTGCACAACTATCATATGTGCTCATCGCCGTCCTTTCGTCTGCTAACCTCGATGATGATCGAAGCCGATAAGATACTCCATTTGAGAAGATATCTGATGCTCGTCGTCCGCTCGCAGCTACGTTCACTGCGATGCGAGACGAGTCGTTCGCCGCAACACGGAGGTTATGTTTTCGGATACGTGCATTCTTGCTACCTGCGACCTGAAATTTGTATCGCGGCGTGCAATAGGACGTACAGCACGACAGTGCCGCAGTCGTCGCAATCCGACGTCGATCATAAACTGATATCGTTTTGCGATGACATTAAGAAGGG